TCCCCCGAGGGAATAAACACTAGTGTGTTGGTATGTCCGTACTTGGGAGGAGAAGACACGCTTTAACTCTCTCTGATTAGGCACCCGCGGGAGCGACGAAAGGAAGGGAAGAAGTGGCCCTCCCGAATTCGGGGAAGGGGGCCCACACATAGTAGCCTTGTTCAGGCATACGCATGCTCCTGTCTACGTACCCCCCGTGCTGCTAGCAGATCTACCATGCTCGTATCCAGACACACGAACAAAATGTCATGTACGCAAGCATATGTTTAACGGCAACGGCAAGGGCAAAAGCAACAGCAACAGGAAACGCAACAACAACCAAGCAGGGGAGTGTAAAACCCTGGTGGGCATCCAACTTACCACGAGTGTCTTCGTCGCTAGAAACGCTTTCCGGATGCAAACGACAGCAGCGTGGTCTGAAGACAGTCAGTGTAGGGCGAGCGCTGTTGATGATGCCCGAGACATCTCCATCAACCGGCGTGGTCCACTCTTTTTCCGAGAACACGCCGCTGCTCCTCAGGTCACACACCAAATCGAACGCCTCCCAGTCTTCGCTCGAGAGGGAGTTGCCCTCCCTCACATGTTTCTTGAAAAGGACCACGCCCTTTGCTTTGAGTACTGCGAGCTTCTGGAGCTCCCTCAACGTCGCCAAGGGCAGCGACATGATCGCCCTTCGTGCAGACAGAGGGCTTGTCGCGTGGCACGCACCCCAGGAAACCCGAAGGCCGCAGAAGCGAAGGGGGCACAGCGATATCCCACACACACAGTACGGACATACGAAGGTACTGGGTAGAGAGAGATCGGAACGGTTTTTNAAAGGACCACGCCCTTTGCTTTGAGTACTGCGAGCTTCTGGAGCTCCCTCAACGTCGCCAAGGGCAGCGACATGATCGCCCTTCGTGCAGACAGAGGGCTTGTCGCGTGGCACGCACCCCAGGAAACCCGAAGGCCGCAGAAGCGAAGGGGGCACAGCGATATCCCACACACACAGTACGGACATACGAAGGTACTGGGTAGAGAGAGATCGGAACGGTTTTTAATGTGAAGCCAACAACAACAACAACAACAACAACAACAACAACAACAACAACCCTTCTAGTTCGCTAATTTTTCGGTACCTACCCTATGTTGTAGAAAAAAATACTGGGAGGGGGGAGGAGGGGGTGACGCTACCCGCCGAAGTTCTTGTCTTCCAGCGAAGATCTACAATGGACCCCGTTCTTTTCTTGACCTCGAGTTTGGACACCTCGATACGGGTTCTTGTTACGTCACGTCAGATAAGAGCACCTGTTCTTATGGCCGAGTTCGTAAGTTTTGGATTTTTTGAGCCCCATGTTCTTAACAGGTGTGTTCTTACGTGCGGAAGCCATCCGTAAGTAAGGCCTATCTGCGAAGTATGCATATAACAAAACAAAGGTGTGTGTGTGTGGGGGGGGTGTACTCATTGTCGTGCATGCCGTAGTCGTTTGACCATTGACCTCGCATCCCTACAAAGCCGGGACGGCGCACGCCGGATTCTCACAGGACCAGGCTCTCACATAACCAAGCGCATATTCGGCGAGTCGCACGAAGGGTGCGCTGCATCCTAGTAAGGGTGTTCGGCATCTTGTGCTTACTTCCTTGCGTACGGATGTCAACTGTGTATGACTTAGTTAATTTTCTGGTGCTTCCCCTTCCAGAGACAGTTGTAAGCACCGGGTATCTGCCTCGAGGGTGCTTGACCATTTTAACACAACGTGGTGCGATCATCCCCCTTGCGCGGAGTGAGGATTCTCGACCCCGCACAACATGATCTACTCAACCACCATTATGGTTACCGCAAAAAAAAAACAGAGGTAAAACAAAACAACGGGTGCCGAGTTCACGAAGTAAATTGGCTTGTTTTGCAACGTCGTTGCCAAGCGACGAAAACCCAATCCCGATGGCAAACACCGAGGGGGGGGACAAGAAAGGTAGGAAAGGGGAAATAATCTTGGCAACGTCCCCCAAAAACAAAAATAAAACACCATGGCACGGAGAAAGTTCGTCCACGCCCAAGCGGTAAATAACCCCGCGCTGCTTGTGACTTCATTCTGCTACTGTCCCGTGTACCTATCATGTTGAACTATTTCTCATATATATATGTCGGTCAGTCGCGCTGGTTTCGCAAAGTGTGCTTCGATGAACAACACCTTTACCTTGAACATAGTACGCTGCCTCGCTTAACCCACACGACTCCGCGCACTCTTCTGGCGATCCAAAATGCGCCCTAAGCTCGGAGTAGGGCGGCGGTGCCATCACTTCCACACCCCCACACCGCCATCTCTCCATCTACCTCTATATCTCTTCGCGTTTGGGTTGATTCGAGACGGGTGGGGAAGCATGCATGTTCTTGGATACACACTCGTGGCAGGTGGGGTACATCGATCGATGCTCCACCTCCTCACACATTCGGTGCAGGCGTCCACCGCAGCCACCATGGCGCACATGCCCCTGTGGTGCCCGGAGTTCAATATCCGGCTGTTTGCACAACTCTCCCATCGGCGCACGGCATGTTGCGTGTGTATACGTGTCCCGCGATGTTATGTCTTTGGATACACTAGCAGGCAAGAGCTCATCACGACGAGCGAGCATGTCACACCCGTCGGAACTTCCATAAAAAAAAAGTCACAACAACACAATTTTAACAGTCGCCAACAACGTATGCAAGTACACTTAACAGTCACCAACAACGCAAAACGCAAGTTCCGTGCGGCACTAGCTATTCGTACTGAGATGACACACCGCTAACTCCAGCTCGAACAAGTTCGAGTACATAATTCATCGATTGTGTGATACGCTACCACCCTGGCCTTTGCGGAGAAACAAGTCTATCTTATGAAGGTGGTCGTTGACGGGTAAGCATTGAGGCGTTCCCGTTCGCGAGTGCAACGAAAGTCCAGGCACCAAAGCTCCGAGGGACGATAAACTGGTCCTACCGCCAGAGAGAAACGGAATGATGCTTTTAAGCCCTGGGGTACACGCCCGACGAGCTACTGCAGTCCAATGCGCCCCCCCGTATCCGTACGGATGCTCGACGGTTCGGTATTCCATCTTGATATCGAAAAACAAACAATCCGCTTGACATCGAAAAACATACAATCCGCTTGACATCGAAAAACAAACCATCCGTCTTGCCGTGTTTCAGGCACCCCCGGGCCTTGAAGAATGCCACCCGCCGTTCCACCCTTTATCTCAAATAAACCCGGCGTGATGCCCATGCACTCTGGTGCCGCGCAGATTGGTATCTACAGAGACTACAGTCCCCGTCTAGAATACAGTTGCCGCCGCCCTCGATCATCGACTACCACGTGATCACCGATGATTTCATGCTTGTGCTTTAGGTCGTGCTATCGCCAACACCGCCACTTAGAAGCTGCGGCTGTACCCGGGCAGGCCGCGTGGCACGATTTCGGGCAAATCGTAGGCCAGCTGAACCCACGTGACGTCATCCACGACGCGATACACCATCAAACCCACGAGCTGAGCGCGTTCCGGCATTGCCCAAACCCAGGTTTTCAGGAACTTTGTCTAGTGGGGGCAAGAAACGGTGTCAGGGGCAGGAGGGGAATCGGGGGAGGTTGGCCTCGTGAGTACAGTAGTCTACCGCAATATCCATGCCCTTCGTGTGGAGTTCCTTCTCTGCTCCGGGCCGTCGTTGGACAAACATGACATTTTACGGAGCTGCGAAAAGACTGCGACAGAACGTTTGGAACCACGTTGGCAGCACGTCGATCTGTACCAGCTCAGCATACTACGCCAATCAAGTGCTTTCACCCCCCGCCTAAAGGGTACGATATTTCGAGGGTGTGTTCGGTAAGGTACGGGTACGCTGGGTAAGGGATTGAGGTCATACCCAAGCGTACAGACATTTTTGGTAAGGTATTGAAATCTTACCGAAGCGGACCGAGATTTTCGAGAAGGTAGTAAAATATTACCGAAGCGTACCGAGATCTTCGGTAAGGGATTGAAATATTACCGAAGCCGGTACCGGCACTCTCGGTATTTGTCGAGGGAATACCGGAAATTTCGGTAAGGTATTGAAATGTTACCGAATCATACCGAGATTTTCGGTAGGCACTGAAACATTACCGAAGCGTACCGAGATTTCGGTAAGGTATTGAAATATTACCGAAGCATACCGAGAATTTCGGCAAGGAACACACCCTTGTTATATTTGAGGGAACTCTATTCCAACAACCAATGCCTGCTACGACTTACCCTCTGGCCCCGAATTCGTAGCGAGGACATAACCCAGCGCAGGAACTCCGACATCTCCGGGTTGGGGGTGACATCCCAGCTCCTGCGGGCCAGATCCTTAGCAATCGTGACATTCAGGAACTAGAGGATGGTCGGCAGTATCGTTTGCAAAGAGTCGAGCAAGGAAAGGGGGAAGATGTTAAGGAAGGTGGCGAGCTGGCGTGAGAGGGAGAGAGAAAGAAGGTCGATAACCCTTGGTAACATCCCATACGTGGTCAAGTTTTGAAGAATCACGTGGAATCTAGTGGTTAGAAGCACCCAGAACAATGGAAAATATACATGCGCAAAAAACTAGCTCTCCCGCATAACCAACGCTACCCCTGGTGGTGTCTTACCTTGCGGGTCACGGGAGTGGAGTAAAAGTGCTCCTCGTTGTCCATGTGTTCGCGCACTTCCTTTCCGAATTTCCTGATGTTGGCCTTCAGCTTGTCCAGGAGGTTGGCAGATATTGCTTCATTCTTCTTCCCCAGGCCGTCACTGCCGAGCAGAGAGTTCAAACCCGACTCTACAGCGTGGATCAGCTCCTCGTGTTCCTTGTGGTCGTCACCGACGGTGCTGGTCTGGTCGTACCCGAAAACAGTGCATGGAGGGTCGGAACGTGGGGGGCGAGATCGAGAAGAATGAAGCACGGAAGGGCACAATCGATTGGGGATGGGTACGTATCCATAGAAGGCACACTCACCCCTCCCCTGAACCAATCCCTGACACGAACGACGCAACTTGTTGCAATGCCAGCTTGTTGTGGTTCGCGGTACCACCTTCGCACTATGCCCAACCACTTAAATGAAACATTCAATGACATCCTCAGTTCCGCTTCGTTATTCAGAGAAAGGGAGCCAAAAGAGGGGAATGATTGTACGCGTTCCACGAACTGTCCGCGTCTGACCCTCCCATGAGGTCGTCCCACGCGCCTCATGGAATGGTTTGGACGCCCCATATGATGTCCCGCGTGAAACGCCAATCCAGTCAAGTTCGATAGGCAGGGGCGTGTGTACTTGTCGTCAAGAGTCTCCTCGTCCAAGGTGCAAGCACGCTTCTCTCACGAAGCGATGGGAAGCCTTTTCGCTCGGGCGTCACCTCACCCACCTGGCCGGGGAAGTACGTCTCGAGGGTCGGGAAGATGACCTCGTCCTCGTGCCTGGAGTGGACGTCGTGGGCTTTCGATATGGCCTCCCAAGCGGAGGCAACCTCCCTGAGCTTAGAGGCGCCCGCCGCGCCCGGTTTGACCTGGGCCGCCAGCTTTTCCAACCTCGGCAGAGCTTCGCGGAACGCCTGGAGATAACCCGTCGCAGAGGGGGTTGGTTGTTTTCCGTGGTTCGTTTGAACAAAACGAGGATAAGACACCGAGGTGGTGCGGGTTTCGGCGGTTTGTCTTCACATCGAAGCTGATTCGTAGCTTCGAACATCTGTTCTGGTCCAACTGATGGGTGCGTCTCTCGTGTTCATAGGCTAGAACCTAAGACATTGGTGCAATGGAACTGCCCAACTCGGCTGCCAACGCACGAGAATTTACCTCACCCCACGTAGTCTCGTACCTCGTGCGTGAGCTTCGTGAAGGACATCGGAGAAAACTTAGCCTCCGGCGTAAAGACGTGTTTGCCCTTAACCGCCCCCAGCAGCAGGAGCACGTTCACGGCGTTGACCATGGAGGCAACTGTAATCGCCACGATGCTGATGACCTGTGGGAGGTATGTATGTATGCGGTCACGGCATGGTCGAACAGAGGGGCAGGATCGTCAACATGGAAAACAAAGGGTTCCGATGTACCATGGTGTCGGTGCAACTAAGACCCGCGGCAAAGCAACAACTTACGATGTTCGCGCGGTGAAAGTATGTGGCGTTTTGTCAATTGGGTTGACGGAAAACACGTCCTACACCGGAAACTGATTTCTACAGGGTGAGGGAAATGTGATTTGCCAAGACTTGGTGGAAGGCAATGCACCCAGAGTCCCTGCGGGAGGTATTTTCCTATCCTTGCCTGCATGGTGTCGGTCTGGGTATAGCCGTACACGGTAATGGCGGCGGAGGCGAGCACGTCGAGGGGGAAGGCGAAGGCGAACAAGGACATGTCGAACTTTCCCCCCACGAAGAAGTTCAAAGGCCACGTGGACATTGCCAGGACAATGGCCATCGAAAGTGAAGCGTCTGAACGAGAGAGAGAGACGGACACACAGAGGCAAGGCTTATGGTCAGGTGGCGAAGGTGCACAAGGGCGTCCGGGTCGGGCTCAAGGTGCATTGATATTTTTCCAGGAATAAATTTACGTCTAGGAACGTGTCCTGCGACGGTCAAGTGTGTTGCGTTGAATCCCGAGACCTTCCTGGGTCATGGCGACTAGTTGCTGCACGAGACACATTTGCCATGCATATTTGTGCGGAGCTTTGGTCAATTTAGGCGAAATCGATAGTTTGTGGTTTGGCGGGGGGGTGTCGCCTGACTTTGAGAAAGGAAACCGGTTCATGCTGACATGCGCAGATAAACAGGGAACCCTGCCACGCTCCGATTTACTGAAATACGAAATACAGGAACGGATTATTGGGATCCCACGCGTACTCACAGAACAAGATGCGCTGTACGTTGTCGATGGAGCTGAGACCGCTAAGGTTAGAATAGGCCATCATCGCAACTGCCGGAGGTGCCACCCAAATACCGTAGAAGTTGCGGCGGTTGGGATCGCTGTGGTGGTTGTCGATAGACTGGTGCAAATAAGCAACGGCGTGGACGGGAAAAGGGCATGACGATCGTTCCGTGAGTCTTTTCCAGATATACATAAAATCGCAGAAAGAGACAGACTCAGGCCGGAGGAAGGGTAGGGGGAAGGCATGAATACCGTGAATCTCTGAGGGAGAGCGCAAAACGCAGAGGATCGTGCAAGCCCGATTCACAGCAGCTACCCTAGGCAGAGAAGATCCAACCCGAAGCACGGCACTCTGCGGGCGGTGTCAATAAGCCTGACGCCGAAAATACGAAGCCCGTGTTAGGATCGAAGCCTGTAGTATAGTAGTTCGCACCATGAAGAAGGTAATTGGCCACAGCGCGAGCCACAGCAAGGCGCCAACCCCAAACAGGTACCAGCCCCACTCCACGTAGTCCCCGTCAACTACCCTGGCGGCCATGGCTCCCACCAGGTTTCCCACGGGCATAAGGATCCACGTGGGGTTGACGAACTCTTGGTCGCGGCGGATGGCGATCCAGCTGGTTGATTGGAACGGACGCGTACGTGTGATAAATGCGATTGGTGGGGGCGAAGGGGGGGAGAAAACCCAATCTGAGGGTTTGGGGCGGGGGTAGAGGGGAAACCAACTTGGACGTTCGCCTGAATCTGAAGCTATCGATGCCACTCCGCAGGCAATCACGCGGAAATGCACCATCCCAAAAGCAATGCACCACATGCATGGAATGAGACGCTTGGGCGTTCGGCAGCTGAACCTTCGCATGCAACCCAGGGTATACATATGTAGAAACGATTCACATACATAAAATCGGAATACCTGGCGACGGTGTAAAGAGCAAGAGCGTTGAGAGGAGCGCTGCCGATCCAAAATAACGCCCGGGCCAGGTCTCCGCTGACGCTGGACCATCTGGTGGCCAGGAAGGACATGATGATGAAGCTGATGAAAGGGACCGCAAACAGGTTGTGCTTGATGGGGTGGCACCACTCCTTCCTCACCTGTTTCCACGAACAACATGAACGAGAAACATCAGAGACTGGTTGGCCAACGGTTTGGGGCTTCGTTGATTTTCAGACGGTAGCCTCCGACACGTTCGTTCTTGGGTCCGTCGTGAGAGCCAAGCGACGCATTTGTTATTGTCACAGGAATCCTCGACTGCACCACTCTGTCCGTAATCTTGTGTAGATGCTCGGCGATCCCTAGAGCCCGGGGTTCCAGAATTCACGACGTTCAATCCGGAACCCGAGAATAAGCCATGCATGAAGATGGATCGAGTGCGTCCGGATAGGGAAAATACCAGTAAACGATTTGTAGACCAATCTGTCCTCAGGGTTGCTCCATTGGGGCTGTTCGAGCAGTGTTCGATCAGCAGACTTGGCGGGTAAGGGCTATAACCGTTTCATGGTCGCCTTTTTCCTGCCTGACATGTCATTGCCCAACTCGCCTACGCAAGGTTTTCCCCATCGGTGCTAAGGGCATTCAGAGAAAGCACAATTACATTTTTTTCAACGCGTGCTGTGGTAGATGGTGGGGTTTCTACGACAAGACAGCCCAAATCAACAAAACTACATGATTTTGACGACCTCAACGCGGTCCAACACCTGCTTCATACCTTCTTTGGGTACAGGGCGCACTTGGTGAAGTACAGAGTCCCGAGTATGGCTTGAAGGGCAACACCCGTCCAAGCTAGCACCTGCACATTTTGAAACCCCGATTTCGGCCATATCATGTCGGTGTCGCGATTAGCTTGGAACAGATGGCGTTCACACCATGGGGAGTTTACCGTCCCCAAGACCTCGACGACTTCGATGCTGTTGGTGTTGGCGCACCAAAATAAACCGGGTCTGTGCTCCAGAGCGCAGACCCCTCAAGACACAGACGCGACTGAAATCATGGTAATTTGTTCTTTTTCTTTGGCCTTCGCTATTGTTATGCTGCCAACATGCAACGAGTATCAGCAGCAACACCACAAAAAAATACCGAAAAAGAGAGCGATGCCAGGAACACGAAAGCAAACGAAAGCGCTTTGCGGCGCATGTCCCAGCTTGATACCTGCCAGACGAGGGGAGACGTGCCGACAGTGTCGTGCAGCTTTGCCCAAGGGAGCGCGAGTCCCAGAATGGCTAGAGGCGCCATGAAAAGGGTAACATGGACGTCTGCTCGGTGGGAACGAAAGTTGTCCAATCGAAGAGCGTAACGACAAAGAAAGGCACGAGTGTCGGTCAGCCGAGAGGTGGATGCTTTTCTTCAATTTCGCCACAGTAATCAGAGGGGACGCAGGGATGTCAAAGGCGTCAAGTCCTGCCGAAATATATCCAGGAACCCGCGTCTTGTGAAACATGCAGAGAATACATGATCTGCTCGTATTATTAGGAAATCTAAGAATCTACGACATCCCGCTGAATGAAAATACAACGTACATGTCGGCGGTATCTCTGGCCCCGATCGCTCTAAACCGGCTTCCTCAACATTTTCCGGATACACTTTTCTGCTGACCCTGCTAGAAACACGAAGACTACGACGACAGCTAAATGACTGTTGATCCGAAACTGTGGTACGCGCGTTTCGCGAGGCATGAAAAGTCCTTCGCACGGAGGATCACATACTCTTTATCGATTCAAAAAGCGCACTTGCTGTCTCAGAAATAGTTTCGGGTTGGGGTGTTGGACTGCGCTTCGGCTCGCGGCGACGAAGAGAAACACACAATACGGTCGGCCCGAAAAGGCGGGGAGGTTAACTCACACTTGATGATGTGGAACTGCTGCCACTTGTCCTTGGAGTCGTACGGCCTGGCGCGAAGATCGGTCGGGTTGGGAGGAAGTCCCTGCACCACCACAAAGTGCGACAGGAATCGTCAAATGAGATAAATTGCTCCTTTTGTTAGATGGTGTTTTTCATCGATAGAACGTCGGAGACGCATGTTTGGATGTAGGCCTATTGGTATTAGTGAAAAATGTTTGGTGTCCGGCGTGGAGAAGACGTGCAGAGGAGACGATCACGCTTCACAATCTGGATTCCGTCCAGGAAGCAAGAACCAGAAAAGAACCGTTTAAGAACATTCAAGGCGTGTGTTTCAACATCAAACCAACGTCGGACCTTGGTCCGGTACGTGATGGGTTCCGGGGCGACATCCTTCCCGGTTCGGAGATTCGCTTCATCCCACGCGTAGAGAGTGTCGGCCCTGAAGTTGCGGTGGCGGCCAATGCCAAATTTCAAGGAAGGAGGGTGGGTGTTCGGTGTGCTATGCATAGATCAATTTCTTAGTCAACAGCCCAAGCGCGAAGTTAGACGGGGCTTACGGGGGGACTGGTACATTAAGGCTGTCGACCGCCCGCGGGAACTACACGTATTGGTACTTCCTCTTAGGATATTGTTCAACGTCAGTCGGTACTTGAAGTAGTTGGTTGCTCCTTCAACCTTCGTAATGAAGCCTTTTTTCAGAGCAGGGTTATGCAGAATGGCCTGAAATCTTGCCAGTGTGGGTTTAAACAGGTTTGCGGCGGAACATCTACAAGCCCTTATTGAAATTGTTGTTGGAGAACGAGTGCCAAGGTTCGACATACATTGATGGAAGAGAGAAAATCGATACGATCGCGACGAATTGGTTCCTACAAGGCTTCAACTGCCACAGGTGCGGCACAATAATCGCCTTCCTGACAATCAGCATAGGAAACAACAAGATAAAGACCACAGCCACAGCCACCAAAAAAACAAAAACACAGCACAAACAACATACCGAGTGTTGACGTGGAGACGGTAGATGGCACCGGAGACAAGGTTGAACTTGAACATGTATCCAAACACGAAGCAAGCGCCGCACCAGTTGAACGCACCCTGAAGGAACGCCGCGACGCTCAGGATACCCTGCGGCGAGTTCCGGACCAATCGCAAGCATGCGGAAATTAGGACGCTGACTGAACGGGATCTTTACGACGCTGGCAAAACGGGATCTTAGCATGGAGTATATACATATCCCATGTGTTCGATATTGTTCTCTCCAGAAGTGTTCGGTTCAAAATCGAAGGCACGGCGTACTGGCTATACGTCTTGTATGATCGGGCAGGAACGTCATTCTTGGTGGAGGTACAACCCCGCGTGAGCATTCCGGGAGCTCACCATCATGACTCGGGCTCCCAGTGGTTGGCCACCGAGGAGGCTTGCATACGCGACGCCAGAGAATATCATGCCGCACAAGTTGGCGAATTGCCTCGCGGGTCCGGACCTAGGCCACCACCACCGGAAAACGTTCGAAGGGGTTGAAGCGTCGTATGTACGATGCGTGAGAAACGAAATGGGAAAGGGGGCGACGGGGATTCGTTATGTGCCTGCCATGGTGGTCAACACGCATGCCGTCCCCTGCAACAGGTAGAGAACCGGGCGCGAACATTCGTACTCCCAACGTACATACAATGTTCCTGGTTATCCCCTTTGTTGTCGTCGCTACCACATGGCCTGTTTCTTGAGCCACCCGTCGCTTTCGTCACCACTCCTCTCGAACATTTCAGGTTTTTGCGGTACCTCTTCACCATGTACGGTATGCCGGACTTCTTGAGAGGGGCTGCTCAATAGGCTCACACACCCGAACTACGAAAGGCCCGCAAACACCACAACAAAGAACGTGCACTCAAATGCAGGCGTTTTCGGCGCCTGCTTCAGGGGACATGACACAAGGTAGTGGGCCGAGCACATCACCAAGCATGACATGAGACGATCAAGTTGTGCGTCGCCGAAGGATGAACTTTTGACGTATCGGGAGCGCCTGTGTGTGTGTGTAAGAGAGAGAGAGAGAGAGAGAGAGAGAGAGAGAGAGAGAGAGAGAGATGACCAATATCAAAGCTTGTCGAACGGCGCTTGCTAGGGGGAACACTCACTGGAGCCTGGGCTTCGTTCCCGCGAAAGGAAGCTTGACGAGCAAGGCGTAAGGGCCGGGCAAGCCCGTCATGTCCAGGGTTTTGCTGACGAACATGCCCAAAATCTGGAACGCGGGATGGGTGGGTGGGTGTTGAAAACTATGTAGGAATGCGCACACAGATGCTTCAGGCATTGGAGGAAAGTTGAGGGAAGGATGGCACCTTGAACAGCACATCCAACAACAACACATCGAGTGTCATGGCCCGCAGCACGGACGTGATCACAATCACCAACATAAAGATGGACGTTGCTGACGCAGCCCCTCCCGCTCCCCGCCACCCCAGGGAAGCTGGGCAGCTCCAACCTCTCAAACGCTCTGGCATCTTACGCTCCACTCTCCCTCCCCCCCCCGCGATTCAATTGTGCCGACTCTGAGGGCAGGGTTGCAGCTGGCGGCACTCGGAGACTTGTCGCTTTGTGCGTGTTCCATCCTTAGCCCTCAACATTTTCAAACTGTACGCATCCAACAAGCGCACCGGGAGCTACAGCTCAGCTCACCACCCATGACGTCACGTAGCGCTCGGCGAAGACCACGCACGCGGCCGCGAAGATGGATGTCAGGCTCCCGCCGAGCCTCACCGCGCGGTTGTCGACGGAGATGGGTGCGTGAAACATTGGGAAGTAGGCCGCGGTGGGGCCGGGGTACGTACTGACCGCGGCATTCACGTCTGCAGGCGACTGCACGGGGGAAACGTGCGAGGAACACCACAACGCAAGGACGTCGGGGGCCCGGGCAAAGCACACCGACGATCAGAACAAGACCTCACGTCTCACTTCTCGATCGTGCATGAACTGATCCATCGTAAAATGAGCTCAAAGCAAGCGACTGTACCGCCAATTTCGACTGCACGGTACGAAAACGTACAGCAGTCACTGTCCTCTAGCATGTCGTATGCTCGGAACTCTCTGCTACATCACGAGTCATCCAAGTGAATCGCCTCCATGCCCTTGTTGGCGTACAGTTTTGACTGACTCTCTTGAACAATACCCATACACCTTTTCGAGGCCCGGGCCGGACTCAACATCGAACGCCGGAGCAGGGCGGGGTATCCCTTCCAGAGCAACTCCCAGGTCACCTGTCTTGTCCAGAGCCTGTCGCGCGTATTACACGAAACCAGAGGCGACCACATAGCAGTAAGACTCCGACAGCTTGCAGAACAATGTTTGCTAGATCGAGAGCTGTGTATACGGTAGGTGTTACCCGAATAGTGACTTTCCAAGCCGCCGCTCATGTTTTCACTGACTAGCTGCTATGAGAGCACCACGAAAAAAAATGCTGTGGCCTTGAAAAAAATTCGGACCCGGACTGAACAAAAACGTGGAGCAATACATGGAAAAGAAGTTGCAAATGTTTAGCGTTTCTGCTTAAAAAACAAGGTGCGCCATGACGGCAGCATTGCTCATCGAACGTTTGATGATATGCTTGTCAACAGGGGAACCCCTCCTACCTTTTGTTGGTATACTTCAAGTACAACCTGAAAGGCTCATAACCTTTGGTATGAACTTGTATCTTGGTATACATGGAAACCTTGCTTGGTTGTATCTAGCGAAGGCCACTGTGTGTGGAATAGTGTGCATGCAGACGCCCACAAAGGGACAAAAGTACAGTTGTTTGTAGACCAGAGAAGATGGTTTGAATGGGCGCTTCGTTGGCCGAGAGGAAAGGAAAAGGGACTCGCGAAACCAAGAGTCCCGAACGACCTTGAAAAGACCAAGGAGCCTTGACAGATGCATGGAAGAAATGAAAGAGAGCGTGAGAGCAGGGAGGCGAGCACCACGACCACCGCGCCCGCATCATGTACGGCATGAAGAAACAGTTCATGGAGGCACGTGCGCTGCTTCTTCTGCGGGTGCGGCAGGGCGGCGGGTCCGGGAGCGAGCCATCCATACTCATCCCGGAAAGGAAACACACATGTGTTGTTGTATTGTAACGCACAGATGACGGTGCCAGAATATATTGTAATGAACCATCTGTTACCGTGATGTTGCAATAATATCCACGTAACGTTACACGAATATCCTGCAGGACCAAGCTTCGATGTACCTACTCGTCATGGTTTATGGCACGCCCGTAGGTGTGTACTTGTACAATAATCCGACCACTGCAACAATATACCGAAGAGTTTTCCGGAAATACTCCATAGGAGATATACACTGGCAGGTGCTCAAATGCTAGTGACTTGACTTGGGAGTATTCCGAAGACCGAGATTCTCAATTACCTTGAGGTCGTCGCAGCCCCCGACGTGCTTCTGGTTGATCCAGATTTGGGGCACCGAAGTGCGGTTGGCTGCAAGGGCGGTCATGGCCTTCCGAATCTCGGCGGTGTTGGGCTCCTGAAGTCAAGATGCAAGCAGATAGCAAGGTGCCAAATTTACACCGTGAAATTGTAAATGTGTGACCCCATGTGACACCCCCGATAATGCTCCGCATTGTGTACACTGACACCAGAACAGATGGGACGAAACACGCACAAACCAACTATGTCGAGGTCGCAGCGGCGACAAGTCGAACAGTTCTTCTCGTCACCATCGACTGGGACCACAAAGCACGGGGTAGCATCGCGATGGTCGGGGCGCAGGTACGGCGATTCCACCTGTACTCGAGAGTTAGGCTTATCTCCAACGAAGTCGCAAATGGTATACGTTGTTGTTGTCATACATACGTGTGCACAACACGCCCAAAAACAGCGTGTGTTCCGTCACCAAGAACGACTCCAACGTTCACGGAAGCGGGACCCTAACTCTGCGGGGTCTAGCTCATGTGCTCACAATTGACTGCCCAACGCTGAGCCAAATTCTTTAAGAACACGACAAGGGAGAGAGAGAGCACGGGATAGTTCATGATAACCTCCACTAGTAGTGCATGCATGGGGGAGATACGCAGGGCAATCGACGAGATTTCCAGCGCGCTTCGAGGGTGCACCGTAGGCCATCAGTTGGAGAGTTTTCTCTGCACCAAGGAACGAGCTCGAGTAGAAAAGTCAACGGCTGCTTACCTGGTCGATGTAAACGAAATGGTCGGTGATGCCGTGGCCGGCGAGGGCACGCTTGGCCTGCAAAAAACGGATATGCGGGAAGGTGTTGGCGAGCCAAAAAACAAAAGCAAACGCGTGCGTGCTGCGAGGACACCACGAACGATGCAGCTATGTAGGGGTCATCAACTATAGCAGCAGCAGCAAGGTGGACAAAAATTCGCAACGTTTCAGGGTTCCGCGGTCGAGGGAATCACAATTGAATAACAAGCGACCACACCAAAATCGCGACTGAAGAGTCTCAGCAACCAAAGCCGTCGTACCTCAACGCAGAACGGGCAGGTGCTGGTAGCGATGACCAACACGGGATTGGTATCGATCATTCCCTGGAGCCCGGCCTTCGCGCTACCCCGTTGGGCGATCATATCCTGGATTTCGGCCCTCGGGCGAAGGCCGCCAACTTCCACGAATCTCTATCAAAAATGAAGAGCAAGGGGAAGAAATGAGACGGTGGGGTTACGGTGTGCGGAATGGCTGGAGCCGCAAGAACATGTCGGGGATGAAGGCGACCACTACACACAGTATTCACACGGCGGCGGAAATAGACGCTGAAGTCCTCACAAATGGGGGTAAAACAACCAGCCCCCGAGCAGTGTTCTTTTGATACTCCAAAATACCATGTACCGCCGTATTCATGATTTTTTTGTACCTCATGGCAGTAAGTCTCTCACCTCCGCGGAAGCACTCGAGACCTGCTCAGACGACCCCTGGTCAGTCGAGCTGTGGTCAGTCGAGCCCTGTTCAGTCGCCACCGGCTCTAGCCAAACACCCTTTCTGTCATTGGTATTCATCCGTACGGAGGGATGAGGCTGCAAATCTGCCCGAGGCTGGCTCCAACCTGAGGACCTCCCGTGCGGCTTCTTCGTGGGGTACGACATGGCGCGTCACTTCCTGTCGAAATCGCAAAACAATACGAAGTATCAGCCAAAGAGCGCACGCACGGGATCCGGTAAGGGAGGGGCCAGTGCCCACACAGGTTCGAGAAGCCTGTTGAATAAACATTCATGTCGTCATACAAATCAAGTTCACCTTCACATATATACCATGTTTTTCGTGCTTCGTCACAACATGCTTTCCTTGTCAGGGGCACGCAGGAGGCTCGTCGGCAACCTACCGCGCGTGCCCGGGGACCGCCAGGCACCCGTGGCACGTGTAATCGGCACCGAAAGTCGCCCCGAATGGCTCTGTTTCGCGGGGAGGAGGCATTCTAAACGAAAAAAGCCTTCACAGGAAATATCAAACTCCTTCGCATCCACACGGAATACTTTTGATTCTCCTGCGCAACGCACGTACGCGTTCCCATAGAACACGAGCAACACGGTACAAACAAACAAGAGCGAGCGATCAAACGCAGCGGGTTACCGCAGTAGGACCTGTCGCAAAAATACCGCTAGCCAAAAAGCACACACCCATCACGCGCACGCGAAAAGACCCCGACATTACCCCCTCAATCTGTGACCGCACATTACGTATGACGAAAAGTCTGGTGGTTGTACGGGAACAAACCGGCACTGCCGAACGTTGAGATGCAACAAAATGCAGGTGTGACGACATTGGCCATGCCCTCTTGCGTTGTCCCCGGCCGGGAAGCCAGCGCACTCCCAACGGGGAGCCTTTTCGGGACGTACTTACTTGTAAATGCGTATCTCTTCGTCCACCAAAAATAAATGCTGCAGAAAAATCGACAAACCTGCTGGTGAATATGAAGGATTAACTTAACAACCACATCAGCACGCAGAGGCGAGACTTTTCATGTCTCTCGAGTGCACCAAAGAGAAAGGCGATAGCGCTGGGCACAACAAATGATCCGGGGGTACCTGGAATATTTTTAAGGCACGAGCGGCAAACATTAGGATACTTTTGTCTCGGTTGTACCAATTCCAGCGGGGTTTAGGCGGTTTTATGCATAGAGAATGTAGTCTACATGTGGCGCGGGAGAGGATCCGTGATGACGATGACTACAATAATGTGATGAAAAATGTGAACGTTTTGTCGGCGTATCAACGGGAACATGTACACAGTGATGGCATTATGGGGCGGGGTTGCGGTGGTTCGTTCCACTCTGTCCTTCGGTCCCACCGTGGGTATTTCCCCCGCACACGTTAGGTCTGTGTGTGTGACACGGACGGGTGGGTGCGCATACAAGCTCGGGTTTGCTCCGCGGTTTTTTTCACGCCCCTGCGGTTTTGTTTCACGAGCTCCGCAAACGCAATACTCGCACGAAAGAAGAATCATTTACAAATATCAAGAATATATGTAGATTTACATAGTCTGTCCCATTTTGTCATCGGCTCTTTTCCATTTCATTTTCTCTTTGCTCACTGTTTCCTTTTGTTTTCTTCTCTTTTTCTCTCTTCTTCTGTGCCAGATGGCCTTGTTTATGCTTGCGTTGTGAAGTACCAAGATTGAACCAAGGGAGTGTACCTCATTCTCTCCGGCCCGTGATGGTGAAGCCTAGTCTCAGTTGTTACCTCGCATAGCGCGCAGAGGGAGTGAAGGACTCCAGAATATCTGTCGTTGATTTCTATTGACTTGCGGACCCCTCGGGGCCAGTTTATTTGAGTGTACCTTTATAGGGTCAGTTAGGCTGCGACCACGGGAATCGACCCCGTCGAGTGTTGGATCAGTAGGAACATACGAAGGTACTGGGTAGAGAGAGATCGGAACGGTTTTTTATGTGAANAGCCTAGTCTCAGTTGTTACCTCGCATAGCGCGCAGAGGGAGTGAAGGACTCCAGAATATCTGTCGTTGATTTCTATTGACTTGCGGACCCCTCGGGGCCAGTTTATTTGAGTGTACCTTTATAGGGTCAGTTAGGCTGCGACCACGGGAATCGACCCCGTCGAGTGTTGGATCAGTAGGAACATACGAAGGTACTGGGTAGAGAGAGATCGGAACGGTTTTTTATGTGAACATAACAACAACAACAACAGCAACAACAACAACAACAACAACAACAACAACAACAACATAGTCTGTATCTAGGTCTACAGGAAGGCATACAACCGGTCGCCCCGGTGGTCTAGTGGGTAGCCTCGCAGCCTGCTAAGGGCCAGGTCGAGTCCCGACAGAATGAGTTTTTTCTCGCTAAATTAATTCTGGGCTTCGTTGGAAGCGACGCGCTGCAAAGCTCGTTGTTGTTAAAGTAAACTTGATCGACTTCATAAGTCGCGAGGGAAGGGATTGCTGTAACCTTCTCGCGATAAAAATATCTCAGGCAGGAACCGCAGGAGGGGGTCCGACCCCCCCCTCCTATGTGACCCCGGTTGGGTCGTCTAGCTGGTAAAGTGGAGGATAGAGGCCAGAGGGGCAGACGAGAGAGCCCAATGATGGGAAAAAAAGACAAGGTATAGTCTATACATACGAACACAACAATAGCGAGCGGAATGGCCGGCTAGGGTGTTGTTGTTGTCTTCACATTAAAAACCATCCCGGTCTCTCTATCCAGTACCTCCTTCTGTCTCAATCTCTCCGTACTAATCCATCACTTGACTCGGCCAATTTCCGTGGTCACAGGCTAACGTACCTAGAAAAGGTATACCAAAATAAAATGGACCCCAAGGGTCAGCAGAGCGATAAAATACAAGAAAACAAAATATAATCAGAAACAAATAAAATAAAATAAAATAAATAATTAGACTAGTGGAACGGCCGCACCACCAGCCTGGGGGGGTAGCCTCCCACTACATGGAGGCAGGTCGACGGCCAAAGGAAGGGGCGGGGGTACGTGCCAGTAAAAAACAAAACAAAAGACAAAATAAAACAGAATAAAGCAAAGACGAGGACACAAACAAACTCGCACAGAGACAGGGATATCCCTAGAGACAGTCTGAACGCGACAGCAAACGGGGGAGAGGGCAACAGAAAAATTAGTCGTTGAAATTCGACCGCAACATGTCACGTCACGCGGTCGGTCTCTTCTCGCTTGCTTTCTTCCCGCCGCGCCGTTTCCTTCCGCCCCCCTACCGCCCCGTTGATTGGTGCCGTATCTAGACTATTTTTGGGCCCGCTGTCTCCTCGTTTGATGGCTCGTTGTCGGCTGGACCTAATCAATCCAACGCTGAAGATAGCAGCACACACTTCTTGCGGCTGGCGGGCGGCTGTTGGACAGGACCCATTGCAGTCGTAACATTATCAAAGACTGAAGATTAATTGATTTGTTTGAACCCACATGCACATATGAACCGGTCGCACCGTAGGTCTAGATGGTGTCCTCGAATCCTTCTTGAGGTCAGGTGACAGGTTCGAATCCCGGCGTAGGGAGCTTTTTCTTGCGAAGTGAGTTTTATTCTCGCTTCCGCTCCTGGCCTTGCGGACAGCGCTAGTTCGTGTGTAGTCTACACAGAGGGAAGAGAGTGCTGAACTGTTCCGCATAAAAAATCGTAGGCAAAGTACCGCAGGAGGGGAGGGTAGAGAGGGGCTCTTCTGTGTGACCACGGGTTGGAGTAAACGGCACCAGTGCTGTGAGCACTGATTTGAAGTGAAGACAAAATCATACTATCTATATAGTCCAGTCTATATGGCTTTTGACATAGGCCGTTTCTTTATCATCAACACTGTTTTCCTGTTTGCTGGTCGTTCGGATAAAACGCAGCATGTCCGTCGTTCTCTCGATTTCTCGTCTTCATTCTGGCCGCAACCGACCGTGCTGTATTGTACCTGGTAGACAAGGCCTGATCACCAGAAAACTACAGTAGACTACTGCTGTACCGTGGCGACTCCAACCACGGTGCCATCGCAGCCTTTGAAATCTTGGCAGAGCGGGACGACACTTACCTGGCAACAGCACGGGTTCCCGTGTTGCCGCTCCCGGCGTTCGCCCGACACGTCAAGTGCTAGATGCGGCTGGCTTTTGAGTGGAGAGCTGGAAGCAAGGACCGCGTGTGAACGGACTAGTAGCAGGAGCTACAATCCGCGATCGACGGTACAATTGTCGGGCGCGGGTGTACTCGAACTACTCTTTGTGATGGTGGCAAACCAACCAGCGTGCGAACGCGTCCATTCTGTAGTTTGTTGTGCAGGCCACGAACATACCACAATTAGCAGACCGACGCATCACCCAATTGATTCTTCTCATCGAATTCCATTGGTATTCCCGACCCAGAGTATTTTTCTCAGAAGATGATGTGGTATTCATATTTTGTGGACGCTGGGCGACTCTTGTACCTCCCGTGATGCAAGATATCACACCCCCTCGACCAATTCGCATCGCTCGGTAATTCCACAACGAAGAGGATAAAGGAATCAAAATGATACGTGTAAGGAAGCCCTCGGCAAGATAATTCCAACGCCCTCGTATTTGAAACAATCATCTTCACTGCTGTGGATTAATTGGGCTTTATAAATTGGTCAGGCGGCGGGGGGTGATATCTTACGTATAACACTCAATCCGGATGTGTCCGCAAGTTGCAATTGCTGGAAAGTCTTTGCGTACCACCAGGAGCCGATGGTGAACATACTGTATCTGTAAATACCGTGCAACGGAGGTACAACCACTCGTTGGGCTTTTCTCGGCGGACCTACGCCCACGCTCCCCACGAGTGCCATTGATAATCTCCATCTCATCCCGTTCGACGAGGTCTGACGCGTCCTAGGCTCTTGGGCCAACGCGATCATACAGCAGCAACAGCAGCACGTGAGTGAACGAGAGTAGATCCAACACACAATCATCCACAATCCTGCGTAGCTTCTTCCGCCGGAAACGCGTTCCCAAAACCCGGACGCGTTTCCCAAATTCTGTTGTCTTGGTTGGTGTGGGATACTGCTGCTGTACAAGTGCTGCGGAGAAGGTGTATGAGAGGATACCTGAAAGGGAACAGCCATATGGCTGGCCGAGACCTCGAATCGAAGTCTTTCCCATCCACGATTGAATCGAGCACACCCGACGGTTTTCACCACCCGTCCGTGTGTTGATTCCCCGCCTACACTGCTGTACTTTTTCTCTGGGGAACGCACCCAAGTTTCGTTGGAACTCGCTGTGCAGCAATTTTTCAATGTTTCGACAGCAGGCCGTGCAAGCTGCTGCAACTCAGAGTTGCACGCTCAATTCCCATAGATACACCCGTGTTTTCCTTGCTGGAACAGGTGCCCCGGTGACGAAGTATCCCTTACAGCGGTGGCCATGACAAGCTCTTTCAGTAGGGGCCTGGAGGCATCGCCATCAACGAGCTACTCCGCTAAGGTCGGGTCGCGACCAGGCTTTGCATCGACTACATTCGACTTTCCCTGCACGGCGTCTCCTTCGCCTTCCCCAGCAGGGTCTGGTTCCAGGTAGGCAAGACATATATGTAACAAAAGGGTGGTCGTGGGTCCTCCCAATGCGAGTACTACAAGCGGCTGCTTGTCCCGAACGGCATCTTCATATTCACAGCAGTAGTTATGCCATGTGCTGCTGCTTTGCACCAATAGACTAGACTATATCCCAAAACGCCACACGTCAACATGCTCCAAGGCGGAGGGGATCACGGTTTTTGTGCGTACACGATCACGTGCGCAAAAACAAATTCTGAGAAAAACAGCGCACGCTGTGACTCCATTGTGCAACACCATCGACTACATCTAAGTATCGTACAACGCGTGTTGACAAAACACGGGGAGTCTTCAGACGGTCGATGAATATGGTCCATACTAGTATAGTCTAGAAAAAGGTGGGTACTGGGCTGTCATGATGTCTTCGTCGACGCCAATGAGGACACTAGTCCCTGTCAGAGACAGAGGCCGGTGCTCTGGCAGTATTCTCCCACTGCCAAGGGTGGCTATTTCCTTTCGTGAGATGTNTATGTGTCCTCCACCTATGTTGTTGTTGTTGTTGTTGTCTTCACATTAAAAACCATCCCGGTCTCTCTATCC